AATGGTTGGGAACACTGAGATTGGGATTTTGCAGGGAGAGCCTAATCAGACCTGGTCCACCTCCACCTCCACCAAACTCAGTGCTTCGCAACATGATCTGCAGTGCTATGGTTCCTTGTACAGGAGTGCAGTGTTCAGTGTCCATACTGCCATATTCAGATGGGCAGTACCACCCCACTAGCAGGCCATCTTGATGTCCTTTTTTCACTTGAGAGTCTGCTCTATTGGCCTGTGGATGTCAGGGTGCACAAAAAGTCCACCATATTCCATAAGCATGTACCTGTTGTCATGTTCCCTGGTCAGAATGAAGTTCCATATAGGTATCCTAAGTTCCTCTAAAGGGCAGCTACTGTAGTTCCATCATTTGCAGGTGGCATATATTTGTCCCTTCCAGGCAACCAACTTTTGACATACTTGTTATCGCAAAGGAGATCTTTTAAAACAGCGCAGTCATGCAGTTGCCATTCACCTGATCACTTGGCTACACTGTTGACAACAGTCCATGAGTCAGTGAAACTGCAGCATGTATAGTGGCAGGGGTGGTCTGCATGGCCATCACCATGACATGGAGTTTAGCCCATTGGGTGGAATGACCATGTTCAATCTCAGCCAAAAGATGGCCATCCATTGGACGGATGGAGCTCTAGCCCTGAAGACCTCAACTGCTTTTAGTTTTGCACAGCTGTCAGTACACTGTACCATACCATCAGTAGGCAAGTCTGTGGATCCTGGGCGCCAGGTAACCACAGGAGTCAAAGTATCCACTTTGGGTCACTTGGCCCTTTCTGATGAGCTAGCCATTTGCTTACGGAGCCTACTGGGCCCTTGGGATCCTGGCTAATCCTGAGCTTGAATGTACCACTTCCACTTGATAATTGAGCTCTGTTGAGCCTGACCAGATTTATTGATGGGATTTGTAAAGTATCCAAGTAAGAATGGGCAGTTCAAGTGTGACTCACGTGTGGTGCTCTGGCCTTAAGACATTCAATCTCTGCCAATACACAAGAGCAAGCAAGGAGTTACCATTAAAAAGAAATATATCTGGTAGCTGCCCCAGGCAACTACATGAACATCTGAGAAGCGAATGTACCCCAGTGGGTTTTCTGTTCTCACAGACTCCAATAGCATGCATGGAGGTTGCAGATACCTGTCATTTGAGCTAGCAGGTTCTAAGGTCTTTTTGTGTGTCTTTTGTCTTTTTCTGTGTCCGGCAACGGATTGCAACCCTCAGTGTTGCCCCCGTACC